GAGGCCTTCAGGAGATGGAGGAGGCCAGCCAGGACCTGCAGGGCCATGATTCCAGAATGACACCTGCAGGACCTCAGCATGCTGCCTTGCACCGCCTCGGGCCTCTGATTCCCAAATTCTAGCACAGAACCCTTCACTGTCCCACTGTGGCTCCAGTGGGTCCGGGTGGTACGGGCCATAAACTTTGGCAGCGTCTGCAGGTGTGCAGCATGCCAAAGCTGAGGCCCCCGGTGGCCTGCACCTAGATTTCAAAGGGTGCTGCAGACAGCCTGGAAGTCCAGTCACACGAGTGGAGCCACCCCCGAGAAACCCCCATCAGGGGAATGCCTCCTGGGGCTATGGGGGTGGGGCAGCCTCTGAGACCCCAGAACTGTAGGACCACCAGTGTGCAACCCCAGCCTGGGGAGGCTGCAGGCAGGAGGCTCCTACCTGGGACGGCTGCTGCGGGGACTGAGCCCAGCAATGCCATCCGGGCAGGGATGCTTGTGGCCTTGAGTTCCCAACTCCTGCCCCAGCGTGTCCCGTATAGGGGACACAGAGCCAGAAGAGATTGTTCAGACTTCATGTTGGGCTGGGTACAGTGGCGCACGCACGTAATCCCAGCAGCTCTGGAGGCTGAGGCAGGAGGATCCAGAGTTCAAAACCAGCCTCAGCAAAAGTGAAGTGCTAAGCAACTCAGCGAGACAGGAAAATGCAAAATAGGGCTGGGGATGTGGCTCAGTGGTCGAGTGCCCCAGAGTTCAATCCCTGGTACCCCTCCCCACAAAAAAAAAAAAAAAAAGACTTATTGTCGGCTGGGGTTGTGGCTCAGTCATGGAGCACTCACCTAGCACGTGTGAGGCCCTGGGTTCCATCCTTAGCACCACATAAAAATAAATAAGTAAAATAAAGGCCTATGAGGGAGACAGCCCGGTCCTTGCCCTGGTGAGGGTACAGAGGCTGACCCTGCCTCTGTGTACAGCAGCGTGGGCAGCCATCTATAACTTAAAAAAAAAAAAAAAGACTTAGTGTCAGTTCCAATGTTGCCTTTGGACTTACTTGAGACCAGTCCCCTCTTCCGTCTTGCCTGTCTCTCCCCTTTGGCCTGGAAACCTCTCCTACACCTGACCCGTGGTGGCATTTTGGAAGGAGATGACCTGTGGATTCCCAGGCCCCAGCGGAAGGAGATTTGCCTCAAAGGGAATCGTGCTTTCAGTCTCACGGGCACCTGACGTAGACGGGACTCTGGACTTGGGCACTTTGGAGTTGGTGCTGGAACAAGTTAAAACTTCAGGTCTGTTGGGATGGAATGGGCAGATCTGCATGTGAGAGGACGTGAACTGTGGGAATCGGGGAGTGCGCCCAGGGTTCCTGTGCTGGAAACTCAAGCCCCAGGGCAACGGTGCTGAGAGCTGGGACCTTAAGAGGTGAGTGTTCCTGATATTGCAGGAGTGGGTCACTAATACCAGATGCCAGTTCCTTGATCTTTGGCCTCCCGCCTCCAGAACTGTTAAGAAGTAGATTTATTTCCTTTATATACTACCTAGTCTCTGATATTCTGTTAAAACACTACTAAGTGCACTAAGAAAACCCCTTAACGGCCCCGAGAGGCGGGTTCTACTATTGTTCTCTCTTCACATAAGGGGAAACTGAGGCAGGGTGCTTACACACAGCTGGGAAGTTCTGAACAGCTACTCATACTGCCTTGGGGATTCGGGCACTTGAAAGGACATCTCACTGGGAAGCAGGGCCCCATGACACCCCAGGCCTAGGAGGGAGACAGCCCGGTCCCTGCCCTGGCGAGGGTATAGAGGCCGACCCTGCCTCCGTGTCCAGCCTGGCACTGGCCCTTCCCTTCCCTCCCGCCGCATGGGCAGGCATCAGGCCTGAGATGGGGTAGGACCCACTGACTCCCCAAGCAGCAATGGTGGTGGGCCTCGAGGGGCCGTCCTGAGACTGTGCAAAACCAGAGCTGGGCCCCAGCAGGCCAGGTCAGAATCCTGCCCACCAACTGTGTTGCTGTGTGATCTTGGGCAGGTCATTCCACCCTCCTGACTCCGTATCCTCCACTGCGGATGAAGAGAACAGAAGGACCACTTACCGTGCCTGACGTACAGTGTCTTAGTCACTAATCATTTTTATCATCCTAGAGTAACTAGGCCACCCCTGGGTGCCACTTCTTCCTGGCAGGTATGTGGGGGTAAGTGGGGCTGGGGAGACCCAGAGAGGCATGTATGGAGAACAGGCTGGGCCTAGTTCTGCTGTGGAACTGCCTTGGATGTCCATGTGGGAGAGGGCAGAGGGCAGTGGAGTCTCTCTCTGGGCTGAGCTAACTGAGGTGAAAACCAACAAAACAAAGAAGCATTTGAAGCAGACACATTCTGAGCTTTTAAGGCTAAAAATGTAGGGTGCTGGCCGAACACTCACTCTATTGCTCCATTCCCATTTTAGAATTTAGGATAATGCAATGGAATATTACTCAGCCATAAATAAGAATGAAATGATGGCATTCGCTGACAAAGGATGGAGCTGGAGACTATCATGCTAAGTGATTAGGCCAATCCCCAAAAACCAAAGGCCAAATGTTCTCTTTGATATGCAGATAATAATTCACAATGCAGGGAAGAATAGAAGTTCACTGGATTAGACAAAGGGGAATGAAGGGAAGGGAGGGGTTTGGGAATGGGAAAGACAGTAGAATGAGTCGGACATAACTCCCCGTGTTCATATATGAAGACACGACAAGGTTAACTCCACATCATATACCACCACAAGAATGGGATCCGAATCAGAATATATTGTACTCATGTATGCATAATACGTCAAAATACAATCTACTGTCAGGTGTATCAAAGAGAATAAATATAAACAGAGGTGGGGGTTGGCTCTGGCTCGGGTCAGCATCCCAGGCCCACAAAGGAAACCAAGCCAGTAACCTCAGGCAGCGGTGATGGGGGCAGTGAGTGCTTAGGAAACCCACTCACCCAGCCCAGGCCCTCCCCAGAACTCCTGGGCTGGGCCAGGTGGACCCGGCCCGGCTTCCAGAGCATCCCTCACACTTTTGTTCCCTCAGACAGACGTCCACCCCTCGATACCCACAAGTGGCCTCACCTAAGGCAACGCATCCCATTAAAGCTGACCACAGCCCACTCCTGGCCTCGACTGCAGAGGGAGCCCCCAGGCCCTGAGGTGACCTGAGCTCCTTCCTGGTGCTGCCCTCTGACAGACATCGATGTGATCACGGCTCCCACCCGGGTCCCCGGCCCCCAGCACACACACACACACACACACACACACACACGAGCTCTGACCCAGCACTCAGGCTGCTTCTATTCGAGAGGCTTCTTGGGGCCGTCCCACAAGTCGTAACTAACCCAACGCGCTCGACACAGTATCCAGGAGGCACTGGTCACCACGGCCACCACGGTCAGCCCCGTAGACCTGAACCTGCCCCTTCCTCTCTCCACCCTTGAATGTTGCGTCCATCTGTCTATGGGATCCCCCATGCCCGCTCCCCCTCCTGCCTGCCTCTAGTCCCCCCCATGTGTGCCACCCCTGGGACAAGGGCCTGCAACTTGTCCTCACTGAACTAAGTGGGGCGAGGCCCACTCAGCCACCCAAGGAACGGCTGCCAAGGGCGGTTCCTGTGGAGTGGCTTTTCAGAGGACGCTCTGAACACGGGGCACTGGAAGGGCCTCAAAGTGTAGAAGTAAGACAAGTAGGTTGTGTCCCAGGAGGGAGAAATGTACCCCCAGAGAGGGACCGCAGGAGACCAGGCCAAGTGGTCCCCCTCATAGTTCCGCTGGCTGTGGCCTCCTGGTACCTCCACTGACCTAAGGTCGCCTCCAGCTCCCACCCTCACACCAGGGCTCCTGGTGGCCTGGTCAGAGGACGTGGAGGCCTCTAACCGTGTCCCTCCCTCAGGAGGTCCAACCTGCAGCACAGGGGAGGGGGTGGGTAGATGGCGGAACTAGCGTGGGACCCAGGTTAAACCCTACTTTACCACCAGGTATGTCCCCACCTGCAGCCTCAGTTTCCCCACCTCTACGAAGGGGACACACTACCTGGATGGGGACCCCTGAACTGGCTTCTCTGCCCTAGAATGACAGAAAGGCTGCAGCTGACTCCAGCTACCCAGGGCTGCACGTGTCCCTCTGTCCCCAGGGTCCTCCAGACTCCTCCCCAGGTTCTGATGCTAAGGAACTGATAGGTGCTTTACAATTATTGAGCACCACTGTGTACTTGGTCTTCTACATATAGCACAATGCCCAGGAGGATGCACCGAAGAGCCCCCCTTGACAGATGACCAAATTTGAGGGGAAAGGTCACACAGACAGGGGTGAAGCCAAAGCTAACTCAGGATCTCAGGTACCCCTGCCTGCAGGATGGAGGCAGAGGATGGGGCCCCTCCCCCTGCTCCCCATCTGCTGTGCAGGCTCCGGGGGGCCAGCCATCTCCACCTCACAGGGCCCGGCTCCCTCCTCTCCTTGGAGGCCAGGCCGACTCTGCACACTTAAAACCAGAAGCCCTCGCAGGACTCACCCCTGTGCGAAGTCCCCTTGGAACCACCCTCAGAGGAGACCCTCGAAGCTTGGGGGAGCGAAACTGGACAGAGGATGGTGTGTCTGCCCAGAGACCTGCGGGGGTCTGCCTTGACCCCCTGCCAGACACAGGAACCACAGCCCCCAAATGCTTATTCATCTCAGAGTACAAGAGCCTCAAGGCCATGGCCAACCATCCCCTGCAAAAATCATGGCCTCAAAGGACACCCTGGCCTGCCCCCCACAGGTAGGCCCAGCTCGCCTGGACATGCCTGTGCTCTCTCCTTGTTGAGGGGCTTCACTTCTGCCTGGTACCTGGGCCAGGTACCCACAAGCAGCTGTTTCAAACAGCCCCCCAACACCCCAAACCCTGACCCTCTCTGACCAGGGGCCATCTTCCTCTCCTCCCACCAGAGCTGATCCCCAAACCTCACCCCTTCTTCTCCACGACTCAGTGGCCTCTTCTCCATGGCTACTCACCTCCTCCAGCAGCTCAGGGCTCAGGGGCTCTTCAGCGGGACACCTGCAGGGAGACAGCGGGGAAGAGGTGAGAGGACAGACTGGGGTCTGCTGACCATCCTGTCACCAATCCCATTCAGTCTGGGCTCCCTGGGACAGATGGAGCAGGAGACCTGGACCCTGCCCCCCGAGGGCCCCTGGGCAGCCCAAAAATGCCGGACTCATGCCAGAGTCAGGATGGCACTTTCTATGGAGTCAGCACAAGGACCACAGGTGGCTGGGACCTGAGGGTCTCCCTGCAGCAGCCCAGGGCCCCACATGGGCCTTGAGGTCACGCCAATCAGACCAGGGACCAGCATACCCCACCCCCAGGCCTGCCCACAGCAGAAAACACAGTTCCCTGGCCCCTGGGCCCAAGGGCTGGACGTCAAATCCTCCCTCCTGGGACCAATGTGGCTCATGGTCCCGAGGAGCCCAAAAGAGCCAGCAGAGGAAGCCCCCAGCCCCTCTGCTCCACCTCTGCCTGGTCACTTGCCCTGGTCCAGTCTCAGCTCTGTCACAGGTTCACCCTCACTGTGCCTTGATTTCCCCATCGGTACCAGCAGGTCCATCAGAGCAGGCAGGAGGCCCGGGCAAACACAGCTTACCCTGCAAGCCAGGGCTTCTGATTGGCAAGTCCAGGGTGGAGCCCGAGAATCTGCACTTCCAGCAAGCTCCCAGGTGACCCTGCTGCCACCAACTGGAATCACACTTTAAGAACCACTAGCTTTGGCCTGGGATTGTAGCTCAGTGGTAGAGCACTGGACTAGCATGTGTGGGGCCCTGTATCCCATCCTCAGTACCAAAAAAACCCCTCTGACCTTGAAGATGTATCCAGCCTACAAAGTGCACAGCCCACGCCCTCAAGGAGTTTGCAGGTAACTGGGGACAAAAACACACACACACAAAGGTTCATGCGCACACATCTGATTCAAAGTAGTCACAGCAAGAAACATGGCGTCCAAACAATAAGGAGACCTGACAGATGCACAGCAGGTTGATGCAGTTGGGCAAGGATTCCAGGAGGAGGTGAAGACTTAAATTATCATTTCACATATTACTGACTTAATATGTATGTCCAATTACATGAAACTGTTCTTTTCAAAAAAGAAAAAAAAAAAATCTTCTGGTACTGGGGATTGAACCCAGGGGCACTTAACCACTGAGCCACATCCCCAGTCCTTTTGATTTTTTATTTGGAGACAGGGTCTTGCTAAATTGCTGAGGCTAGCCTCAAACATGCAATCCTCCTGCCTCAGCCTCCCAAGTTGCTGGGATTCCAGGAGTACACCACTGTGCCTGGCTAGTGTTCTTTTTTTGAAAGCTTCAAATACAGAGGTCTGTAGAGTCAACACTGTCCAGGGGCACAGACTGCTTCCCTCTGGTTTGAAACCTCATTGCACATTGGTACAGAGAAGTGCACACACAAAGTGGGTACGGACAGCTTCCATGCTGGTGTGTAACTGAGCTCCTCGCTTAGCAATGATTCCGAGACCTCCCCGTGTCTGTACAGAGCTACAATCATTGCTTGTACTCACTGAGAACCCACTATGTGTGGGCTACTAGGTTAAGCACTTTATCTATTAACCCATCTGAACATCAGAACAAACCCCTAAGACAGGTAAAGGCCGTTTTGAACCTAGTTTTGTAGAGGAGACAATGGACCAGCTGTGGTGTTAGTCAATGGCGGGGCCTGGGCTTGGTCCCAAGCAGTAGAGCTCCAGTGTCTCCTCCCAACAGAGCCACAGGTGAGCCTGCATGATGCCACACTAAGCTCCTCTGCGTGGGGGATGGGGGGCACCCTCACCTGCTTACCAAGGCCTCCAAGGAGGAGTACTCAGATGTTCCCCATCTTTTATTTCAAGCATTGCTGGAAAAATAATCTTGTCACTTGGTGAACATGTGCAAATATTTCTCTGGGTGCGTTCCTAAAGGATAGGGCAAAGAGCTACACATGTAAAAATGTTGGTACTCGCTGCTGAAATGCCTTCCAAAAACATCTGTACTGAGGGGCTATTGTCTGTTTCCCCATGAGAGCTTCCACGTAGGAACAGTACCCATTTACTGAGCACCTATTATGCAGCAGATCCAGTAACATCTATGTCATTATCTCCATATTCCAGAAGAGAAAACAGGCTCAGAGAGGTTAAATTACTTGCCAAGGTCACAGTGCATTACAATGTGCCACAATATCATGAACACAGAAGGAGGACGGGAGGGAGGGAGGGAGAGACATTCCTTGACCCCACATGTCCTCCCATTTTCCATTCCCCTTTAATAGCAAAACTCAAAATCTGTGTCTACTGCACGGCACAGTGACACACACTTGTAATCTCAGTGACACGGGAGGCTGAGGCAGGAGGATGGGAAGTTCAAGGCCAGCCTCAGCAACTTAGTGAGGCCCCTGTTCAAAATAAAAAATAAAAAGGGGGGGGGATGTGGCTCAGTGGTTCAATCCCCTATACTAAAAAATACCTGTCTCCAGTGTCTAGTCCCTCCCCTCCCATCCTCCCTCACTGCCTGTCCAGCTGGGCATCTGTCCTCGCCGCCCCGCCAGGAGCTCTTATCAAGATCCCCAGAAACCTCGGTTCTGCTCCTCCAATGGTCATTCTCCGTGCCCCCGCTCCCCGAGCTCTCGGAAGCAGCTGGCATGGCTGATTGCCTCCTCCACGGGGGACACTTATCTCTGGACTCCCAGGACTCATTCTCCTGCTGGTCCTCCCACACCTTTCTCCGCTCTGACCCAAGCTCCCTCCAAACAGCCGGTGCCCAGGGCTCCCGGGCTCTCCTCTCTTTCCTGTCCACACAGTCCCTTGGCTGGTCTCAGTGGCCCGTGGCTTTAAATCCCAGTTACGTCCCCAGCTCATGGGCAGCAGCCTGGGCTCCCTCCCAAGTGCCAGCTCGGGTTTCTAGAGGCCTATCTGTCACCTCCACTGGCTCCTCTCACTGACCCGTCCAACACAGAACTCTGTTTTTATTCTCCAAACTACATCTCCCTCGGCAGACTCCCTCCCTCATCGCACACCCAGGCCATCCACCAGGCTGTCAGCCCCAGCCCCAGACGTCCCCAGCCTGGGCACCCCCCCCACCCCGCACTTCGCCCGCACCAGATCACTCGGGGCCCACACTCGAGGAGCAGTGAGATGATGGTACAAATCAGGGCCTGTCACTCCCGGGCCATGAGCAAGCTCCCTGCAGACCTGTGAGGCCCACCCCAGCCCCAGAGCGGCTCCCGCACCGGTCACCTCCCGCCCTGGCCAGTGGCCTCCCACCCTAGCCAGCCTCAGGGACTCTGCTGTCAGAATGTTTGGGCCCCTAAGTCAAATGCCCCATGGGCCCCACTGTCCCCGCTTTCCACAGTATTCACCCCCCGGACATTATCCCGACTCGTCTGTGCGCTCTCGGTCCCTGTCCGTCGCCTCATCTTAACCAGGACCCATCAGGCAGGAGGGCCCATGTCCATCCTGTCCCCTTCTGCATTGGCCTCTGTGCTGTGTGCGGTGCTGGATGCGCAGTGGATGCTCAAGAAGCATTTGCTGAGTGGATGGATAGAATGATGGACAGACAGACGGATGGACAGGTGGACAGGGCCAGTTCCACCCCGCTCCGAAGCCTGTGCTCCTACCCCCTGAAGAAAGAAGCTGCCTGCCCTGCGGAACCGAGGAGCTGGAGGGCACAGGCTGGGAAGGACAGGCTGACCGGGTGGCTGCAGCAGTGAGGGCACAAGGACGCCAGTGGGGCCTGGGGGGGAAGCCCCGCGGCCCTCGCCGCCCCCTGGGGTCTGGGGCCCTCACACCTGCCAACCTGGCCCATTCAAGAGGGAGCCTTGGGGGCAGCTGGCAGCTGAGCACGGCTGGCGGGGGGCCAGGATGGCTGCCAACAGCTGGCGCTGCTGCCAGGCAGCCAAGTAATCGCGTTAGCCAGCGGAAATTGGTCCAGGGAGTTTTCTTCCTTCGCCTCCCATTTTCTCTCTCTTCCCTTCCCCCCTCGGAGCTGCAAGACTCACAAGATTGATCTTTGCCTGAAACGGAGGAGATAACTCGATATAATGAACTCCACTGTCCCTCTTGCTGTTTGGAGCTTTTTAAAAAATTTAAAAGGGCTGGGGACAGGGGGAAAAAGCTGTACTCAGGGATCTTGGGCACTCCTCTTCCCTCGGAAGCCCCCAGCCCTGCGCTAAGCGCCCCCTGCCTCTTTCCCTCGGCTGCTTCCCCCGGGGATGCCTTGATGGAACAAAGACTTTACAGATCCCTAACTCTCACAGGTTTTAAAAATAACTGTGGTGAGGTCAGGGCTGGGCCCACCAATAGCCCTGCCTCCACTGGTCCCCAGCCCGGTGGCCACCCCCATCCTCCAGAAGCACCAGACAGCCAGCCTGGGGGTGACAAGGTAGCTCAGTCCACCTGTTCAGGAAGCAATCCCCAAGGGGAGCAGAGAGCCACCCGCCCATTGAGGTGCCGCAGGAGGGCTTTTGTTCCTGCAAACTGCTTTTTCAGGTACAGCCTAATGACACACCACGGGAACACAGCTCAGCCCCAGACACAAGCATGCCCACCTCACTGGGGTCCCTCCAGACTGGTGTCTGCATGAATTCATAGTCATTTATTGAGCACCTACTCTGTGCCAGGCACTGGATTGGGACCCAGCAACCTAGGGGATTAAAAAAAAAAACCCTCTGATTCCACCTTAGTGGCTTTAAAGCCTGGTGGCAGAGGCAGTCATCAAAGGTCTTATTTAGGTGGGGGACACACTAGGATGACAGCTTTATAGGATATGCCAGGATGCAGGGTACAGGGATGTATGTCTGTCAACTCAGCAACTCTAGAGGCTGAGGCAGGAGGATCACAAACTTGAGGCCAGCCTCAGCAATCTAGTTAGGCCCTATCTCAAAATAAAAATTAAAAAGGGCTCGGGCTATGATCCAGTGTTTCTGGGTTCAATCCCCAGTGCCCCCCACCAAAAAAGTCCAGGGATCTCTGAGAATGCGGACAGTGATCAAGGGGGGCTTCCTGGAGAAAGTGTCCA